AAGCAGCATTAATTCAGTTTCAGGTCAGGGAGAAGATTGGGGGAGGAATGGAAACAATTTTTTTTTTTTTTTTAAGATGAAGCTGTTTTGTGGTACTCGAATTTTTAATTATTCTAATCACTCTCGTAACGGTCGGAATTTAAAAAAAAACACCTCCCCAAGTGCAGCGCCTCAGCGCTTCATCTTACACCAACCATGCAGAAAGGTTTTCCTGCTCTGAAAATTGCTGCGTTTCATACTCTCTCCTACCTCCAGCCCCTGCCTCCAGGGTTTTTTTTGGTGTATTTTCCCCCGTTCAGCAGCTCAGTGATGAGAAAACGTGTATGCAGTTCTCCATCCGCCGTCCCAAGCTGCCCTCCACGGAAACCCACCCGGAGGAGAACACGTACAAGCGCCTCGACGTGTCTGCCTGGCTCCATCACCTGAACGGGGCCGGGCAGGTGGAAGAGGAGTACAAACTGCAGAAGGTGAGAGCGGGGGCTGCTGCGGGATTCATCCTTCCTCTCCTTCCGCCGGGCGCCCGGCCCCGGGTGGGAGCTGCAAGAGTTGACTTTCCTGCTGGGGCCAAGAACGGGGTGTTTGAGGGTGTAAAGGCCGGGGTGTAGTGCGGGGCTGGGGGTCTGGCAGATGGATCTGTGACAGGCGGGATGGTGGAGCATCCCTCGGAGCGAGGAGGGGGACCTGTCCGGCCTCTGCTGCTCTTGGGGCGGGTGGCCCCAAGCGGTGCAAAGCGCGGTGAGAAGGACCCAGAGGCTGGAAGCTCGAGGTGACCGCATGGCACAGGGCGCGGGGGGAGCACTGGGTCCGGTCCCGGTCCCAGAGAGGGGTTTGCAGTGAAATGCAGCGTCTGGGGTTGGGGATTAAGCCGTGACATGAGAACGACACGTTAATCATAGAGCCTCTCCTGGGGGGGTTATTGACATTGAAATGAGCCCGATTTGTGTCTGTCTGGGAATAGCGGGCCGGCACTTTCCCTCTAAACATGTGCAAATTGCAGGAGCTTGGATCAAGGCGTCACTTGTCAGGAGGGGCTGCAAAGCCCCCGAGCACCGCGCACCGCGGTGGGCAGCTTCTGCTCGCTGTTCTGGGGCAACTGTACCAGGCAGAACTTGTGCTCCTTCTTCCAGGCCATTTTCTTTGGTGGGATTGACATTTCCATCCGTGGGGAGGTGTGGCCCTTCCTGCTGCACTACTACAGCTACGAGTCCACCTCTGAGGAGAGGGAGGCACTGAGGCTGCAGAAGAGGAAGGAGTACTTGGAGATCCAGGAGAAAAGGTAACAGACCATCCTCACCCTCTCCTGCTCATCCCTCCCCAGGCCCCACGGCGCAGCGATACGGCTGGTGACGTGCGGAGTCTCGGCCGCCTCCGCTTCAGGAGATGCTGATGGGAGCAGAGAAGTGAGAGGGGGGGTAAGGGGGTGTCGGGCACCGCTCACCCCTTGGGGGTCTGCGGTAATACCGTTCAGCTCAAATGTTGTCCTCCTTGGGCTCGTCGGTACCGTGTAAGGTAAGACTACAAGCTTAGCAGGCTTGGTTTAGAGCACTGAAGGTGAAAATGGGATCTTAACGTTTCTTTATGAATATATCTGGATGTAAAAATAGGGAAGAAGGGATATCTAATTCGAGGAAGTTGTTACTGCAAGAACTGTACGTTGTAAAACGGTTGTGGGTACATTTAAGCTGGAGAGGGACAGTAGTAGCATTAATCAGGAGACCATCAAAACAGAGTGGTGGGCTCTGGTGTGCCACCCACAAGGAGAAGTGGAGGGCAGAGTCCAGCTGTTTCCAAAGTGGAATTTATTGCAGAAAACACATGTCATCCCGTTTGTAACCCAAGAGGCTCCTGCCAGTAATCTGTTTGGATGGAAAAGGTGCTGTTCTGGACAGACCTGTGTGTCTGTTTTCCAGGTGATGAGAAAACTCGATAAAGGAGTAGTTTTTCTCTGAAAACTAAAGCTGAAATAAGACTCTCTGATCCTTGTGGCAATCACATCCCTCCCTTAGCAACGTGCTCCTGTTGCTGCTCAATTTTCAGGCTTTCAATGACTCCAGATGAACAGAAGGACTTTTGGCGTAAAGTACAGTTCACGGTAGATAAAGATGTCGTGAGGACTGACCGCAGCAACCAGTTCTTTCGAGGGGAGGACAACCCAAATGTGGAAACTATGAGGTGAAGTGTCTGATTTTAGTGCCTCAAACAACGTGTTCCATGTGTAGAATGCATAGAAAACTCGGTGAGTCCCCCTGGCCCAGGCTGCCCTGGTCACTGCCGTGGGAATGCTGAAGAGCACCGTGCATACGGTGACTGGTACCAAATGATGCAGAAGGAAGCCCTTCTTCCCAGGGCTTTCACTGCTGCTTTAGCCATTTCTTGGTACTTCTTGGTACAATAACCCTGCTGCCATCGCCTCGCGTCCCTGCGTACGTGGGCATCCAAGAGGTATGAGCCTGTGTGGCTGAGGGAGGGTGACGGGTGCTGCAGCAGGGTGGTGGGCAGTTGCTTGGGTCTGTGGTTCTCCTGATGGGGTGAGGGACGAGCACACCGGGGGCTGCGTCGTGGGTGCGTGACTTGTAAATGCATGCCTACAAAACAGCTGGATTTCATCTAGCAGTCTGGCTTGGAGCCTCATGGATGTGTAGGCATCAGCTCTCCTTTCCCATGGGCCCTTAATTTCTGTCCTGTTTTAAATTCTCATTTTCTTTTGATATTTTGGTGTCTGTGGATACAAAACCTTCTCCTGGAGTTTATTTCACTGGACTGATGTTTGCAGCAGGGTTTATCTGTATGTGTTAAAATAGCTCACAGTAGGGTCGTGTGTCTTTGTACCTGAGATGAGCGTGCTGCTTGTTCCTGCTGCTCCCAGTGGGCTGCACTGTGGTGGAAACCGGAGCCGAAGGAGTTCTGTTCAAATCTGTTGTCTTAGGCTGCTGCGTGCTATTCAGAGTTCGTGCTGGCCATCCACAGCCACTCTGGATTGATGCAAAATGTTGTAATCCTGAAAAATAAGGAGAGTTCCAGTTAGTTATCGTGTTGGTGTGTCTTTGTTTTGCTTCTGGATGTAGTTCTTTTAGGGAAAGTGATTCTGTGGGACGCAACGTGCTGCACAGGTGCTCAAAAGTTCACACGCCGCCGGGTGCAGTTGCAAGTTAATCTTTTAGATGGCAGGAGTGACCTGTTGCTCTTCTGCACTTTGCCTGACGCAGGCTGTGTGGTGGGAGCTGGGGTGGAAGGGACGGGGTGCTGCGCTCGGCTGTGACCTGCCTTCTCCGTGTCTCACCTCGCCGTTTGCCTCTCTTCTCCAGGAGGATCTTGCTGAACTATGCAGTATTTAACCCAACAATTGGATACTCCCAGGGGATGTCCGACCTGGTTGCCCCGCTCCTGGCAGAGGTCCTAGATGAGTCAGACACTTTCTGGTGCTTTGTAGGATTGATGCAGAACACGATCTTCATCAGCTCACCCCGGGATGAGGATATGGAGAAACAGCTGGTGAGGCTGAATGCTGAGCTCCCTTTAGCCCTGTCTTTAGCTTCTCCTCTCCCCACTCAAACTAGAGGAACGCTATAAGGCCATTACATGGGCGGAACCACGCTCCAAATCCACAGAATACCTGGTGGATAAAATTGATCCCAGGTGATTGGGGCACTCCAGAAGCAGTTGCAGCCAATAAATTATCCGAGTAAAGTTACCTTGGCTATGCTAAAGGGTGCTGATGCAAGGAATCTGTTGTGATCAAATGCGTTGAGGATGCTGCTTCCTTTTTCTTTGCACTTCTCTCAGGCAGTGAAGACTCAGTGGTTCATTTGTGTCCTGATTCTGGGGCGTTTGGTGGGAATGAGGCAGAGGAGCTGATTGAGCTGCAGCCCTCTTTGTGGTTTCTTTGAAGGTCTTAACATTTTTAGTAGATTTTTTAAATTATGTCTAAATGAAAAGCCTTATATATCTGACAGAGTTTCTTAAAACCAGGTGATCTTGGTTAAAAAGAGGAACTTTCTAGATTTTTATATAAACCTCAACTGTTTTCTGGTTAAGATCCTGAAAAATCCATTCTAAATCTGAACAATCCTGCCTGGATCCTGGTAGCACCAATTTAAAGTGGTAAACTTGTGATGGAAGCCCCATGGGAGGCTGCTGCTGGGGCGCAGTTGGTCGATGTACAGATTTATGCACTGCAACGTGCCCATGTAGTCAGGCTTTCCAAAAGCAATTCCGTGTTGCTCGGCCTGTTGAAATGAAATATTGCCAGAGATAGCTATGTCCTTTTTCCGTCTAGTTGTAAGGCTCTAGCTGCTTTCCTCAGCCTGAATCTCTCCCCTTCTTTCTTTTCACAATGTGGCTGTCATGGGATTTTCTTTCCACCTTCCGTCCTCCCTTGCGAAGCAGCTGCCGGTGAGCTCTGCTCTCCGACGGCAGATCCAGCCTGCTCCTGGCCAGGCTGTCACGAACGGGCCCCGCGGCTGGAGCTCCCGGTGAGAGCCGAGGACCGCGGGCAGCTCTGCAGGAGCCCATCCCGGCACGCGGAGGGGGGTCCCGGGACGGGGGGCGAGGGCGGCGCGAGCCCTGGTGCACAAGGCGATGGCTCAGCTCCGAGCGTCTTTTCCAGATGTACCTGCGAGAGCTGCTGCGGCTCATGCACCCGCGCTTCTACCAGCACCTGTCTTCCCTGGGAGAGGATGGGCTGCAGATGCTTTTCTGTCACCGTTGGATCCTCCTCTGTTTCAAACGTGAATTTCCAGACGCCGAGGCTTTGCGCATGTGGGAGGCGTGCTGGGCTCACTATCAGGTTAGAGAGCTGCCCATGGGCACTGGGCAGCCCATCCTTTCCTGGATCACCACCGTCTCAGCAAGCCTTGCAGAATTTCCCTAAAGGCTCTTAGCAGCAAAGTGTCCAAAATAAGTGGGTGTTACAGGAGGTCTGTAGCTATGGAAGAGGTTTATCCATGTAGCAGGAGGATGGAGGTCGGCCTCTCCTACTTGAGGATGTCCCGGCTTCAAAAGGAAACTTTTTCAGAAAGTGCTGAACATCCACTTCTGAAGTTCAGACTTCTCTTACACAGCTGGAAAGTATCTTCCCAAAAATCACAAGTCGGCTTTGAAAGCTGTGGTGCAAACCTGGCTGCTGTGCTGTAAAGGGAAGAGATTTTGCCTCGGCTGTGGTTCAGAATTCACCGATAACTCATGTTCTGTACACCACCAGGCAAAACTGGAAGGAGCAAAAAGTCCCACTAAGGACATGGCTGTGGGAGGTGGGGAGGTTAGGTCAGACCTCTGCCTCCACCTGCTGCACTCCAGCCCCTGTTTTCTCGTTGCAGACCGACTACTTCCACCTCTTCATCTGTGTGGCCATCGTGGTGATTTATGGGGATGACGTCATCGAACAGCAGCTGGCCACTGACCAGATGCTGCTGCACTTCGCCAACCTGGCTATGCACATGAACGGAGAACTGGTACTCAGGAAGGTAAATAAACGCCCGTGTGCTGATGTGGGCTGAGCCCCAGGTCCAAGAGATGAGCCAGAGCATTGAGAAAATCAGGGACCGATGCTTCATCTTCTGCATCTCCTGTATCCTCCTGCTTGGCTGGAGCCTGGGGGGGTGGGATGCTGGTGTTTGCCTGGAAACAAGTTTTGCAGAAATCAGAGGTAGTCGTAGCATGCTTAGGAGGTGGCGGCGGGGTTGGGGTAACCCTGGCACATGCTCAGGGAAGCAGTGGACAGAGCTGTCGGTCTTCGTGCCGCGGTCCCCAGTCCATCCCGGGCTGGGAGTGACTGCGGACCGTGGGGTGTGCCGCAGTGTGTGGCAGCTCCTGCATCCTGGCCGTGTCCCCAGGACCTCGTTGAACCTTCAGGTCTGCATTCAGGAGGGATGCTCCTTTGCTGAAGCTTTGACTCTTCTAAGGTAGCCAGACAGGAGGACGGGACCGAAGGCCCGGGGCTGCCCCTGCGCTCCATAGGCGTCCTCCAGGGAGCAGTGAATGACTCGGTCTCTCTCTCCCCTCCAGGCAAGGAGCCTGCTCTATCAGTTCCACCTGCTCCCCCGCATCCCCTGCAGCCTGCACGACCTGTGCAAGCTGTGTGGGACAGGAATGTGGGACAGTGGCTTCATCCCCGCCGTGGAGTGCTCTGGCCATCACCCGGAGTCCGAGAGCTGCCCGTACGGGGGACTGGCGGAAGTGTCTTCTCCTAAACCAGGAAGCGAAGGCAAGAGAGGCTTGAAAACACGGGACGTCTTCGCTTTCCGAAAATAGCCGTAGAGGAACAGGGTGTGACAGCGGAAGAGGGAAGGGCAGGAAGGATGTGCATAGGAAAAAATGTTGAAGACAAAAATGGAGGGATAGCTTGTCAAGACTCCTGAGAAGACTGCAAGGTGGAGAATGGGCGAGGGATGAAATCCCTCCGCGGGGAAAGCAAATTGCAGCGCGCTGCTGGTGGAACCGGAGCGAAACGCGTCAAACCAGGAACAGCGTTTGCACGTGTTTGCATTTGATTTTGTTAGAAACATGAAGCTTTTCTAGGTCTTAACAAGGACTTTTTATTCTGCCTCTGGGATTGGACTGGTTAGAACTTTGTTACTCGCTGATGAGAAATGAGGACAGTAACGAGAGCCAAGTACGACCAGCGGCGTTTGTGGGTCAGGGGGAAGGAGCGGAGCCGTGGCGAGACCTGTCCGCCATGTCCCTTCATCCCGAGCGAACCACGCACGCGCTCTCTGCTTCAGCCAAAACGTGCGGCTTAGTGGCTTCTCTCTAAAGCCATAGAGACCATTTTAATTATAATCTGCCAAAAATAGAAGTGCAGACTGTTGGGATTGCAGGGAAGGTGTCTGCTTTGTTGGCGAGGAAGAACTGGTCACCTAAAGGTCTTGTCTCTCGCCTTTTCCTTTTTCATGTGGTACACGGCTGGCATGACGTGTTTTCCATTTGCACAGAAGGTGTACAGCCACAGATCCCAAAGCTCTGCTTTTCTGTGGTCAGGGCATTTCACAGGCACCTTTCAAAGTTTACTTCCTTACACTGCAGCAAAGCTGTCTCTATGCTGACAACTACAGACTTCAGACACTTGTTCATGGAAGTCTGTTGTTTCCAGTATGTTTCCCAACGTGTTTCCTTCGGCTCTTCTCAATTACTGAATATTTACTGTCCTTACCTTACGCTCCGAGGGGGCTGCAGGCTCTTCAGCTGGTGCCCGCAGTGCACCCTCTTCCCCATCCCAAAGAGAAAATGAGACTTGGTCTGTTGCATCACTTTTGCCGAGCTCCGTCTCTGATACAGGTTTCCCTCGGAGTGTTTTTGGAAGGACAGCATGTTTCCCCTCCTGTCTTCTACAAACTTCGCCAACTAGAAGCGGAGCTGGGGCCTTGAGCACAGCCGTGTTGCCAAATGCCCTTACCAAACTCAGTGGCATCCAAAGGTGTGCCCTGAGCCAGCGTTTGTGCCAAACAGAGCCGGGGGAACAGTTTCCTTGTAAGAAGGAAAAAGGAGACGAGGTGGCAGTGGGCTGTGCCGGCTT